TCCGTTTTTGGTCATTGTGCGTTTCTACAACGTACTTGTGGGCAATCATAAGGGCTCAAGGGCTCCAGGGCTTGGAAGACGGCATCCACATAAGCCTCCACAGTACGATCTCGTACAAGGTTGGTGTAGTCCCCGAGCAAGGGACTCCAGGGTGGCCATATTGGAACTACAGTTCAATCATGCAGAGCATGGGAGCATGGGAGCATGAAAGCATGCAATACGAGTAATAATCCCGTAATGCGCACATTATTGGAAACGCGGCGATCATCGATGTCTAAGAACATCAAGTTAGACCTGACTGGCCCAGCCCCGGGGGGATCTGTGTGGATGACACAACGTGATCTCTGACATAACCGCTGATATAATCTATGCCTCAGGCAGCAATAAAGAATAGTAAGCCAAAATAGTAAGCCAACTAGATAACCTTGGAAAAACAACAAACCGTGAAAAACATGGCAAACAACATCAAATAAAACATAAACCTTCCAAAGTCAGAGAGATGGCCAATTTTGATTAAACACAACCGGATTTATCCCCTCCCCAGACGAATGGATCGATCTGTGTTTCAGGCATGTCGACAACGGGTCATCAAGTCCAGTCTCGCGGATTCCAGACATCCATTGATCTCGCCCGTCGACAAGCGTATCATGTAGCGCCCGTGGCAGGACAGAAACGACCCCCGACAGAGCCCACAGAGCAGGTTCTCGACATCCCGCCCGGTCCAGTCGTAAAACAAGCTACTTTCCCTCGTCAAAATGGCAATCCAGACACCATATTGGAATCAGCTCCGCTACAGTCTGCCCGAGATCTGCTAATCGCCCCCGTCCATCGCTTTACTGCCAGCAAGATTCATCTTGGCGCGGGCGCGGGCGCGGAGCCAACCTCGGATGATCCTCCAAAAGCTGTGGCACCGACTGCCCCACCTTCTAGTCAGAACCCCCTGCTCTCTCTGTCTAACCCAAAGTATGGCCTGCCGCCCGCTCTCACGGCGAATTTTGCAGCTCTCGGTGTTAGGAATATCTACCCATGGCAGGCATCTTGTCTGCTGGCCAGGGGCTTACTCTCCGGTGAACGTCATTTGGTTTACACGGCGCCGACGGGCGGTGGCAAGTCTCTTGTTGCGGATGTTCTGCTTTTGAAACGCATTATCGAAAACCCAGGGCGCAAAGCGCTGTTGGTTTTGCCTTATGTTGCTTTGGTTCAGGAGAAGCTCAAGTGGATGCGTCGCATTGTGCAAGACGTGGAAAGAAACATCCCGGATGATGATGAAAATGACTCCAAATTTCCTTGCAGGCGATGGAACAAATTGCACAAGAATATCAGAGTGACGGGCTTCTTTGGCGGAAGTCGGACGACAGCCTCTTGGGCGGATACTGATATTGCCGTTTGTACGATAGAGAAGGTGTGCACGATTAAGATTCAGTGTTGTTTGCAGAGCTCTGATATTTATTTCCTTAGGCCAATTCGTTGATAAACAACGCCATCGAAGAGTGTAGCGTTGGAGACCTGGGAGTCGTGGTTCTTGACGAGTTACACATGCTCGATGACGAACACCGGGGCTATCTCTTGGAATTGATGGTCACGAAGCTGCTGTTATTACAGCAGGACACCCAGATTGTTGGGATGAGTGCTACACTCTCCGTAAGTCTATGGTTCAAGCCTTCGGTGGACTGCTCTAACAGGTGTACAGAACACCGAAGTGCTGGCACAATGGATGAACGCCAAGTTCTACATCTCCACATACAAGCCAATTCCTATTGAGGAATACTTGGTATACGAGAATGGAATCTACCCAGCTGCAACCTCGCGGCAATTGTTCCAGACGGCATCTAAGCTGACTGCAGCTGCGTCCCTACACGATACCATTCCTCCACACCGAATAATTGAACCTTCTACCTTCAAGCAGCTCAGCAACCCTGCCACTAATGCCATGGTAGCGCTAGCAGTCGAAACTGCAGCAGCTGGGTTTGGGTCATTGGTCTTTTGTGGCAGCCGTAACGCATGCCAAATTCACGCTGCGACTATCGGTGAAGCGATGCCGCCAGCGGAGCCGGAAGAGTTGAATAAACGACTCGACCTTCTCGCAGAATTGCGGAGCCTCGCTTGTGGACTGGACCCGGCTTTGGAGACAACAATAATCAGAGGGACAGGGTTTCACAGTTAGTACATATCCATCCATGGGGCCAGTTTCCACGCTTACCAATAACCACTTAGATGCTGGGATGACCACCGAAGAGCGGGAGCTAATTGCACAGGCCTATGACCAGGGTGTGCTCAAAGTCCTCGTGGCCACGTGCAGTCTTGCCGCTGGTGTAAACCTCCCGGCGAGACGAGTTATCATCAATGGTGCGCGCATGGGGCCTCAATTAGTGGGTCCGGCTATGTTGTAGGTACCTTCTTCTTGGAGTAAGGAGTATAAGCTGACAAAATTAGTCGTCAAATGTGCGGTCGTGCTGGCCGCAAAGGCAAGGACAACGCCGGCGAAACCTATCTCATCTGCGTGAAAGCCGATATGCAGGCTGTCTGCGATCTGTTGGACGCTGATATGCCAGCTATTGAGAGCTGCCTGGCACCCGAGAAAAGAGGCCTCAAGCGGTATGTATCTTGTCCTACTCTATTATTGCCCCTGAATCATTCGCTCACACCCTAAAGGGCCTTACTCGAAGCCGTGGCAACGGGGTTGGTATCCGGCTACGAGGCGATCAAGGAATATGTTCGGTGCACGCTTCTCTACCAAACATTGGACAAGAAGATCGCATACAGCATCATGAAATCCGCTCTTCAGGAACTAGTCGACGAAGACCTTGTTATTTTGCGAAACGACGAATCCTACGAAGCCACACCATTAGGACAGGCAATCGTGGCTTCGGCATTTTCACACCGAAGACGGCCTGTTCGTTCACGAAGAGCTGAAACGAGCATTACAGGCCTTTGTCATGGACGGTGACATGCACATCTTCTACATGTTCACTCCGCTCCAAGCAGCCGTGAACACCCCCATTGACTGGCAAGTCTTCCGCGATCAACTAGACAGGCTAGATGAGAGCGGTCTCCGGGCTCTACAATTAGTCGGAGTCCAACCAGGTTTCGTCAACACAATGTACGCCTCCCCTTCCTCCTGCCACCCCCCTGGTTCCTACACATATCGCGCACAATTCTACACACACCCTCAAAACAAACGAGACCAAACCAACCCCAAACTAACATTCCTATTCCAGGGCCCAATCAGGCGCCTCTCTGAAAGAAAACACCGCAGCCCAGATAAAACAAGCCCGCATCTACTGCCGCGCCTACACAGCCCTCCAACTCCGCGATCTCAGTAACGAAGTCCCCATATCAACAATAGCCCAACGCTACAACACCCCCCGCGGTGCAGTTCAAACCCTGGCACAGCAGTGCCACGGCTTCGCCGCCGGCATGGTCAAATTCTGTCAGCGCATGAACTGGGGCATGATGGCAGCCGTCTTGGATCATATGCGCGATAGGCTTGAGGCTGGCGCGCGCGCGGATCTGCTTGAGATGGCCCAGGTCACTTTTGTGAAAAGTTGGACGGCGCGTTTGCTTAGGGATAATGGATTTAAGAATTTGAGGGCTTTGGCGGAAGCTGAGCCGAAGGATTTGGTTCCTGTTCTTATGATGGTGGGTTTTTGGTCTTATTGGGTTATCTTGAAGAGAATTTCTGGGCTATGCATGTGTGTGATCATCTACTGACGTGTTTCTGATGTGCGTAGGCCAATCCCCGCAAAGCGCAGAAAAGTCAGCTCTACCCAACAGAGACGGAGAGGTATGCTGCGAAACTGCTGGTCAAGGCTGAGACGATCATTGCACATGCGACCAAGATCTGGGGTATGTTGTACTTTGTAGAGAATTTGTTCTAGGTGTATACTGACGGGTCTATATTATAGAGCGAGAGATGCAGTTCGAGGTGGAAGAATGAATATCACGGTTTTTGGCATTTGAAGCGTTGCATATCTTCCGTGGCGTCAGGAGTAGTAGGATATATATACTCCCATTCAACCCTCGCTTAACGCCTGTACCACATCCTCGTCACCTGCGTCCTCCGCATCTTCTTCTGGAGAAGAAAAATACCCTGCAGAAGGGCCTCTGCAGTCGGTGGACATCCAGGCACATAAATATCCACAGGCACGATGCGGTCCACACCACGTACAACATTGTAGCTGTAGTGGTAATATCCCCCGCCATTGGCGCAACTGCCCATGCTAATCACCCACCGAGGCTCGGGCATCTGATCATATAGTTGTCTCACGGCCGGAGCCATCTTGTTGACCACCGTACCGGCCACAATCATGACATCGGCCTGCCGTGGCGAGGCACGGAAAATAATGCCCAGTCGGTCCTGATCGTAACGTGGCATCGAGGTATGCATCATTTCAATTCCACAGCAGGCCAGTCCAAATGATAAAGGCCAAAGGGAGCCTTGTCTTCCCCAGTTAACCAATTCGTCTGCCTTTGCCCTAGGTAGAAAAATGTTAGAACTATAAATCAGTCGGGTTGTAAGTTGGCAATTCAGTATCGGACTTACAGAAGATACCCGGACGCTCCATCTTTCTGGCTTTTGAATGGTACGGGTGCAGATGTAGAGCTACCAGGTTCTGAAGATGTGCGTAGGTATCGTGTCGTTGCGGTGGTGGGCAAGCAACACTGTGACCATTGTTTCGGATTGGAGCGACGGAGCATGCTTCGAGAGGATGTATTCGAAAGCATCTTCGGCAGCAACTTGAATAATTTGCTGGTTTGAGTAAATATCCCTCCCTGGAGAACTTTTATACTTATTTCTAAACTGTTGTTGTTGAGCATCCAATGAGAGGGTAGGTATCAATGGACATCCAATCAGATAAGCCCAAATTCGGCGACTTTGTGGGTCTGCGTTCACCAACTTCGCCGAAGTCAAGACGCCGAACTTAAGAGTCGGACAATTGCCTTTGACAATTATTAAATGCCGCGCAGCAGTCCAGTCAAAATCGCTTGTCGTCTGTGTCATGACCGGCGGGTCAAATGTGACCGCAGTGAAGGTGTCGCGTGTTCCAACTGTCGGAATGCCCGGCGCCAATGTGAGTTGATTATATCTCGTCGTGGACGGTAGGATTCAAGACCCAAGCCATCATACTAGGACTAATTCAGATCCAGGAGACGAAAGCTTCCTCTCCTGGCCACTCAAGCAGACTTAGGCAGTGATCTTTCGGCGGCCTCCCGCAATGCGCCGTATGAAGGACTGACGAGTTCCAACCCCCCTCTAACCACTCATGCTCAGGATGATGGAGATAAGCCACGGCAAGAGCCATGTTTCCCAGCTCAAGGCCCAAGTGGAAAAACTCCATATGTTGGAGATTCTTCCAATCTCAATTATTTGATCCAACAGTTTGGAAATCCTTTCGGGGGTACGACGGATGCTCGCCCACTTCAGGACCACCTCCACGGGGCAATGCTGGCCCGGTTGGGCAGGCCGACGACGCAAGAAATCGAAAAGCTTCACATATATACTATTGAGCGAATCAAGAACCAAGGGGCATTTGATCTCCCGTCACAAGAGACGAGCCAGGCTCTTCTCGATTGTTACTTCCATTTCTCACTTGCTGCACCTATTCTTGATAAGTCAAGATTTCTTGTCACTTTCGAGGAAGACAAATCTTCACACTTGCTCTTGAATGCTATCTACCTCGCTGCCACTATAAATTGTTCGGATTCCGTCATTGCTAGTGCCGGATTTGTGTCCCGATACGCTGCAAGCCTCACTTTTTACCAGAGAGCCAAATCCCTTTACGATGCTGGATATGAAACCGATGCGATAGCGACGATTCAATCAACATTCCTTATGGGCTATTGGTGGAATGGTCTTCTAGAACACAAAGACCCTTGGTACTGGGTTGGTATCTCTGTGGGAATGGCGCAGGCTTTAGGACTGCATCGAATGTGAGTCTACTTACCCCTCCAATGTGAGCCACGGGCGGCTGATCAGTATTCCAGAAAGTCATATAACCGTCTCGAAGAGAAAGAACGAAAATTATGGCGAAGATTATGGTGGATGGTATATGTCGGTTATTGCTCAACAAAGCCCCAGCTCTATCACGGTCTGACATTCTAAACTAGGCCATGGACATAAATCTGTCTATGCTTCTCGATCGTCCCCCACACGTGCAAGGAAGACTTTGCAATGTCCCCCCTCTGTCGGAAGCAGATTTTGACCAAGCCAGTGGGTCTCAAGTGAGATACCCCGATGAGGCAAATACCTTCGTGATAAATGCTGTGCAACTAGCTCGGACAGGTTCAACATCCATCATCATATCATATTTCTGAATGTATTTCCTTGCTAATATATATTACAGTGGATCGCTTCTTCACTATTAAATTTGACGAAGATAGTGGTCATTCACAAGATATCTGTTTAGAGCAAATTTCGTTGTGCTCTTCATCCCTTCCCCCGGAATTCAGGTCGTTGTCGCCAAGTAGCAGCAAGTGGGCTATATTGACCCATATATTATACCAGTAAGTTGACTTTCAAATGGCTCTTCAAAATATCTCCATTCTGATTCTGAATCTATAGGGAATACCGGCTACTTTTGCATCGGAGCAACCCAAGGTTTTCTCTCAATACCGGACCAGGCACTCCGACATTCGAGATATGTGCGGAGATCTACAACATGCTGGAAATACTCATGGCAAGCGATCTTCTCTATGCAGCCGCAGCTAGCATGTACGTCGTCTCCATAATAAAGTACCCCCAATCGATCCGGGGCGGTTTTGCTAAAGCCTTTGCAGAGTTGCACCCGTGCTGTCCGTGCTCTCAATCTATATTGTCAACATTCACAGAGGGGATACTGGTGTCCGATGGATTTCACACCATCGCGCCCAGTTATGCATGCTGATACTTGACAAGTTGCAAGATCGGTTCCCGGTACTTGCAGCCTTCTATCCAATTTACGAATCCCTGCTTAGGCGACACTCTGCAGGTGGGCAGACACAAGATGGCGCAAGGGTAGCAGAGCATTCAGCAACAGGATCCTCGATGGGAAATGGTGCGAGTCAACTTGATAACGAAAGCAACCCTGGTAGTATCAACCCCACTGCAGGCTTATTTGATCAAGTTGCGCAAGACGGCATGGGCATGGCGTTTCCTTTCTCGTTTCCATTCGGGAACCTGTTCGAAGATGCCTTTCTGAACTCACCTTCTCAGCCTACAGCTTATTGTGAAGATGATATATCTTACCCTTAGTAATATTGCTGATTCATGGACGCGTTCTGGGTTGTCACTCGCTTATGAGATACAGGCCCTGGAATATGTATGTATTATTGTAATTTACAACATCTACAAAACGAAAGCAAAGAAATCGCGTAATCGAGTGCCATTCTCACACTATTTGCAATGGTATGTATGCGATTTGTACATGATTTACAATCTCCCAACGCCCCAGCCCAAAGCCACCATAGATACAAACGTAAGAGGCGCCTAGCCAACGAGCAGTAAAGAAGGTGGTCAACCCAATAAAACAAAGAGAACGATTAAGTTCTTCTTTTCCAAACAAACCAAGAGTTCTACAGTTCCCCATGCCCGCCGTGCCGAGGCTCGCCTTCCGATCCCGGCGCAGCCATAAACCCGCCTTCCCGCACGCGCAGCGCAAAGTTAACTAAAATGATTACGACAAGTCCGATGCTGACGACTGTCGGACCCCAGCGCTCATAGTAGACGCGTTTGACGTCACGGCGCTTGCGGATCTTGTCGACGCGCCAGATGTACAGGAAAAGACTGTAGATGAGGGCACCCGCAGCGAGGATGGTGAACGCCCAGGAGGAGATGAGGGTCGCGAAATCGGTGCCGAAGTTCAGGAGGGTTGCGGCGATACCGCCGAGGATGATGGAAAATTCTAACCAGGAGAGGAAGGTTCGCTCGGCAGCGAAGTAGACCTTTGGTTCCACGCGGATGGGAACGAAGATGCCTAATTTTTTGGGAAGTGTGTTAGTTTGGGGAATTGATGCACAAGATGCATGGAGCCGACTTACGTTTACCCGGGGGAGCCTGGAATCGCTGTAGGGTGCGTCGGTGGTTACTCAAAACAGCGATGCCACGCTGTTCGGGGGGAGGCAGGGATGTTGGACGGGGGCGGGGGATTAACGCCATAAGACCCTGTGCGACAGCGTGACCAGCCCGAGAGAGATAATGTTTGGCCAATTTCTGTGCGTAGTACGCCCCTCCTACACGACGAGCTTCTTCGAGTTCATCGGAGTATACAGATTCGTCATCCGAGTCGTACAATGGGTAGTCTTCGTCGCCGGGCAAGGGCTGAGCGGCGATACGTTCTTCGATATCTAGTTCGTTGCCATTGGTCTCAAACAATCCGTTTTGATGCTCGGTGGCGTGTTCGTTCGGGGGCGTGTCTTGCGCACTCGGCGTTTCGTCATCATCCGAATCTTCATCATTGGCAGATATTGAGGTACTCGCCAGCGGTCTGTGGATACCGAATTGACGAGTCGCAGGCTTGCGGATATCTACATCCATTTGTGGGAACCAGAATGGAAGTAGGTGGATACGAGTAGGGAACATGGTCGCTGTTCCGTGTATGAACTTGCTGAATTTCGGGACTGCCTCAACCAAGTGACTAGCAGTCAAATCCCGAATCCACTGGGGAGGTTCCTGGCCTGCCTGGGTCTGCAGTTTCACCTCTAGTACGGCATAGGGGAACCGGTCGATATCCTCAGGAGGCAGCTGGGAGAATGGGAAGTCGACTCCGATATCCATACGGCGCCAGTTCTTCCCAGACCGTTGACGGCCGTCCATATTATCCTCTCGGATCATGGTCAGTTCCGTGTCGAGAGAGATCCGAACACGGGCATCACCTGGCAGCTGGAATGCAGTACGGTGATAAAATGTACGGGTGACAGGCACCAAGCGGCGGGTAATGACGCGGTACTGAATCTCGCGAGCTAGTTGCTCCAAATCATCAATCTCCGACGCGCTCTTCTTACCCTCCCTGCGCATCTTGTCGAAGATCCGCTCAACCGTCATCCGGCCGTCGAGATAGGCATTGACATACTTCTCCTTGAGTACGAAGCGCGCCTTGACGGATTTTTCTCCCGTCCAGTCCTCGCGATGGGTTTTTCGCTCCACGAAAATCTGGTCACTTTCCATCCCACCGTACCAACGCAAACGAATTGCCTCAGCGCCTTCTGTTTTCTTCAGACGACCCTGGTACAGTTCCCAAGTGTCCGTGTTGTCAAAGTAGATAGAGGAGATGGCCGTGTCCTTCTCCTCGAACTCCTTGCTGGCATTGAAGACCAACACCGGCAGGTGCTTCAAGATCACCAGCTTCAACTCCGTAATATTATCCCGGTGCACCCAATACTTGGTGGTCTGACGCACAAAGTTCTGTTGAGTACCACCAGCAGACGAATCACCTTTGACCGGGTTACCCTTGGTCCGGACGAGGTCATACAGCTTGGATAGTTTAATCACAAAGGCGTCGTAGTTGTCCTTGAAGAAAGGCTTGGCCTTGAGACGTGTCGCAAAAACTGGCTTGAGGTACCATTGTGTTTCTTTCTGTGCAATTGTTAGCGAATTGATAGGGGCGACCTGGAAGGAAAACCTACGTCATGCTTCTTGATGATCTTCTGGAAACCCGTGTAGTTCAATTGAGTAAATTTGGCCAAGTCATGAACATCCGCAATGATATCACTGAGTACCTGCTCAAGCATCAAGAAATCCGCATCGGTGGGCGCGGGGCGAGAAGCTCGAATACTCTGGCGACGGGAATCGGCCGAGCTGTCCAAACGGGAGACGACATCGTTCACCGCGAGCTCGCTTTCTTGGATGCGGGCAACAATCTCCTCGCTCTTGCGCTTCTGGAATAAGAAAACCTTCTCTAGTTCACTCTCGAGCAAGGAAACAAAGTTTGTCTCATCGTCCTCGGTCCATTCTTTGCGGGCGGGCTTGGTGTTATCGGACGTTGGCTCGTCGACGAAATCGGTCTTCAGAGCTTTCTTGAGATCGTCATAGGCAATGTAGTAAGGATAGAATTCCTTTATTATGGAAGAACGGAGATATTCGCCGAACCTATGAGACAATTGAGTCAGTATAAATGCGCGGGGAGTGGAATTGGCTGGAAGACAGCGAGACAGGGAATTAGATACCTCATGGTGGGCAAGGAGAAATGTGAGGGAGTCTGGGTTTATCCCAAGCTCATGACAGGAAGAAGAAAGAGAAGGAGAAAGAAGAAAGAAAAAAGATGTGAGGGAGGCAGGGAGAGGCCAAATTCGGAGAGTTCAGCTTATCCGAAGACAGAAAGTCAAAAGAGGTTATAATGGACCCCCGAACTTGGCTAGTCCGATGACTAGCGGGTGACGGCCCCATCGTGGCCAAGTGGGTGTGGTAATAGTCGAGGCGATAGAATATGGTATCAATCCTTTAAATGGGGGGGGGGGGAGTTTAACATAGTGGAGAGCTGAATGGCATTGGAGTATCCTATTTAACTGTAGTGAGTTCAAAATAAGCATCAACTTGCTATACTGGTGGTTATAAGGAGCACGATCGTGGCAATCGAGATGTACTTCTGGTAATTATGGTATGGTAACGCTGTATCCGCAATACAGACCCCCCTTGGTGACGTGAACAATCCGGCCAGTCATGGGCGCACGTGGGAATTTGGTGTCTTCCTCGTCTTTCTCTCTGTTGACCTCTCTCGATCTCCCACTGCGCAGGATTGTTCTACTCTCTAGGGCTATTCCAAGGCCTTGTTATTATATCACACACAACCTATAGAACTAGAACCTACACAGTCCAATATTAAACGTGCTTTTCAATTTCTTTTTCAATGCTCGTTGCAGATGGACAGGGCCATCTGCAAGATGATCGAATCGAGCCCCACACCCGCTTTGTGCTTGCTGGGTCTAGCCAGATGCATGTGATTTCTCACCTTTCCACATGTCTTGGTCTCTAACAAAGCCAACCTTGGGGAACTCATGAGTTTGGAAAAATACTATTATTGATCAATCTACCATATACAACAGTTCCGGGGCCGAATCCTATATCATTACCCATTAAAACACCAACACCAGAACACCCTTAAAAGACGACATGCAGCCTAATCTATCATCACATCATGGTATCATCGCAGCCACCTAGGACATGCTCATGGCCGCCCGGCGGATACTGCGACGAGCACCTTCACCGAAAATATTCACGGAGCCCTCCGCCTCCAGTGAGCGCAGCGCATCACCGAACTGGTTGTGGTCGAGTCTGAGGTCGCTCTGCTCGCTCACATCGCGATACAGGTCGGTCCAGCGGACCGCACCACCACTCACACCGCCACGTTCATCAAGGCGGGACAGCACCGCCTTCTTCAGGTCGTCGCGAAGACGACGGTCAGAGGCGCTGCTGCCTTCGGTCAGAAGGCCCATGTCGATGAGACCGGTTCGGGAATCGGTGGCGGCCTGCTTGATGGCGGAGCGGATGAGACGCACGGATTCTTCAACATCGCCGACGGTGACTTCGGGTGACAGACGCATGCGTGCGTGCGCCTCGGAAAGTCGGATCATCGACTCCAGCTGTCGAGTGGTGGCAGTGATACGGCGCTCTTGGGCGCGGATGTCATCACCTAGCTGGCGCATAGCCACGTAGGCCTCGGTGAGTGCAGCACCGGCAGCGGGGGTGATCACAGGGTGGCAATTGGTCTTGGCGTATGTAATGTAGGCTGTAAGGAATTCGACAGGCTAGATAGAACGGTTAGAAATCTCGCGAATTGATCATCCGGGGAAATGGCACTTACCAGAATCTCCTGTGAGCTGGCATTCTCGGGGTTATCCTCTAGATACATGCCGACCAAATGCTTGGCCAGGCGACGATCTTCCGTCTCGTCAACACGGTCAAGGACCAGGTATACCAGGTCGAAACGAGAGAGCAGAGTAGGTGGCAGATCAATGTTCTGCGGAACAGACAGTTTAGAATTGTACCTACTGCCGATGGGGTTGGCAGAGGCCAGGATGGATGTTCGGGCGTTCAGCGTGGTAATAATACCCGCCTTAGCGATAGAGATGGTCTGCTGTTCCATGACTTCGTGAAGGACAGATCGTGTAGAATCGTTCATCTTGTCGAACTCATCAATACAGCAAACACCACCGTCGGACAGAACCAAGGCACCGGATTCGAGAACCATCTGGCGAGTGTCCGGGTCGCGGGTCACGTAGGCAGTTAAACCAACAGCTGACGAACCCTTACCACTGGTA